GTGGATGTTTTTCAGTGAAATGTAATAAAAATGTGGCTTATGTTTTAAAAAATGCTCATCTCTGTGACTAACCAGGTCCTTGGCGGCCACGAAGGTCCTGTCAGCTGCCTGTGTTTCAGTCCAGTCCAGTCCATCCTGGCCAGTGCCTCGTGGGATCGCACCATCCGGCTGTGGGACATGTTGGACAGCTGGCAGGTCAAAGAAACACTTGCCCTTACCTCTGATGGTAAATACCGATCCTTGACCAAGCCATCAGTGATGAAGCCTGGTTATTTGGTGTTAAGATCCGCCTGTTCCAGTGTCTTCTTTGGTACAGACATTAGGGGGCACACAAAGGGCGTTCCCACTGCAGGAACTTTCCAAAAACCATTTAAGGAACTAGAGAACTAAACTTGCTTTTACTGGAGGAACAAGGAACTAAATCTAATTGGTGTTTCAGCTTGTGTACTGTTAGGACGAACTCTAGCATCGATATTAGGATGAACAGTTCTTGTTCAGCCCTTAAAAGCAAAATTCTGCTTTGTTGTCAGTTTCCCATCTTGGACTTTCATTGTATCCTCAGCCCTGTGCATATCTACAACCACTTAGGTTTGGCCGTGACTTACCGCCCTGACGGTCAGGAGTTGGCTGTGGCCACTTTGAACGGTGAGATCTCTTTCTGGAACCCCCAAACAGCCGCACAAACCGGTTCCGTGGCTGGACGCCATGACCTGGAGACGGGCCGCAAAGAGACGGATAAAATCACAGCCAAACAGTTGGCAAAGGGCAAGTGAGTGAGAGAACTTAAATTATTTCATTTGGTCCAAACTATAGAGGAGGGGTTTGATTTCTTTGGGTTTTTTTGTGGAATTCATGACAGAGTATTGATCCTGGTTTATGCTTTTCGTTCGTCCAGGTCCTTCACGTCGCTGTGTTACTCTGCGGACGGGGAGTCGATTTTGGCAGGAGGTCAGTCCAAGTTTGTCTGCATCTACAATGTCAAGGAGCAGATGCTCATGAAGAAGTTTGAGATCTCCTGCAACCTGTCCTTTGATGCCATGGAGGTACGGCTTTTAGAGCAACGCTTTAATTCAATTAAATAAATAAAAAAATCCTGAGAGCAGGCATAAGAAGGACACACACAGAAACAGGACATATAGACAATACATAATAGACAAACAGTACATCGCAGTAACAGTGACCTTGTAGTAGATGTCCAGCAGTAATAATAAATAGTGTATGAGTCTTAAGTGTGAGAGAGGGGTCCCTGGCACAATGAGTGTGGGATGGGAGGGGCGGGTGGTGCTGGGACTCTAGTGTTGTAGTCAAGACTGCCCAAACCAAGACCAAGTCAACACGTCAAGTCAAGACCAGAGTTTATCAAGACTGAGACAAGACCAAGACTTTTAGGGGCTGAGACCAAGTCGAGACCAAGACCAGTTCCCCACATTACATGACACACAATGAAATGTGGAACGAGATCATAGGTACTTCTCAAATTGATCTGAAAGATCCACATTCCCATTAAAAACACCCACATACAAACATTAAGAGCTGAAATCAACGTATATCTTTATTCAACTTTTCCATGCTTACCATCGTGGGAACAGTCGTTAATGGTAACAACACATTTTTATTTAGGGTTATTGGTTGGATTTGAAGCAATACGTTTTGCATCCGATCTAAGTGAGGATGTTAACAAATAAATCTGACATTGCAAAAGCAATTTATTGATATTCCCAAAGTTATGGTCTTGACTGGTCTTGAAATAAAATCCCGAGTCCTCAATGTCCGAGACCGAGACAAGACCGAGTACAAATGCAGTCGAGACCAAGACCATCAAAAAGTGGTCTTAAGACCGGTTTCAAGACAAGAGCGTTCTCGAGTACTACAACACTAGTGGCAGTAGGTCCAGGTATTAAAGAAAATGATTATAATTATTATTGTAAACTTTGTTTAGTAGGAAGGACCTGTAACTACTGTCAACTGTATACACAAAGCAAAATACACTCTTGTACTCTTTAATTTCTGGTTTATACTGCTGTGTTTCAAACATGCTTACTTGGTCCTTGAACTTCATCAATCAGGACCTTCAGGATTCTTGGAAATTGTTGTTTATCTGATTCTCCCTGTTCCCTTCAGGAGTTCCTGGACCGACGGAAGATGACGGAGTTTGGCAGCCTGGCTCTGGTGGACGAGGGAGCTGGGGACGGAGACGTGGTCAACATCAGCCTCCCTGGAGTCAGGAGAGGTACGACACCCTTCAACACTTAGACCAGTTGTTATTAAGCATTAGAATACCTAATTCCTCCAAATAGAGCCGTTTGCAGTGATGCTGTGCAAAGACAAGTGAGCTACTGATCACTGTACTGGATCAATACAGTGTGTTGCTGTATTTAAGGAAAACAAGTTCTTTCCACTAATAGGGCATTTGGGAGGCACTAAGGAGACGGATTTTCTCCTTAAATTGATAGATGTTTAATAAAACGGTCAATTAAAGTCACTTCTTGTTGCTTGATGACTTCATGTCATTCCCTTTTTCCATGTTTTCACTTAATTTTATTCTTTATGCATGTTTTTCTTTCTGTATTTCTTTACAGGTGATATGAGTTCTCGACACTTCAAGCCAGAGATCAGAGTGAGCTCGCTGCGGTTCTCCCCTACTGGTAGGTTTTTCCCCATTAAAGAGACATTGCCGTAATTACGTTTTGTGAGTAAAGTTGGAGATGTTGCTTATAAAATTGCATGGCTTTCTACATTTCTACATTCAAATTTACACTTTTGGTCTTTCAGTCATTCATCTCAGCAACTTTTAAGCAGATTCCCAGTCCCCTATCATACTTATATTGGTCATGTTGCTAAATTAAATAATTTTCATGTTTAAAAGACATTTTAATTAATTTTTATTTATTTAACCTTCATTTAACCAGGTGAGTCTCATTGAGATTAAAATATAATTTTCCAAGATAGACCTGGCCAAGACGCAATTAAGTCTTTATGGTCTGCAAGAGGAAACTGGTGTTAAGTATTTTTAAGGTGGTTCGATATTTTCTCAGGTCGTAGCTGGTCGGCCACTACCACCGAGGGCCTGCTTGTCTACTCCCTTGATGGGTCTCTGGTCTTTGACCCCTATGACCTCGACATGGACGTGACGCCGGCAAGCATACGTAAGCAGCTGCGGCTACAGGAGTGGGCGTCGGCTATCGTCCTGGCATTCAGACTCAACGAAAAAGCCTTCAAGCAGGAAGTCCTGGAAATGGTGCCGCATGAGCAGAGTGAGTGAACCATCCTTCTCACAATACTGTGAATTTTCATTTAGTAGCTATGAATTAACTACCTTTTAAACCAAACATACCTGAATGATATGGTTTGTGTTCCAGTCCCAGTAGTTTGTGGCTCTCTTCCTGACATCTACGTTGAGAAGCTGCTGGGCTTTGTGGCGGCATGTTTGGAGAAGTCGGGTCACCTGCAGTTCTACCTGACCTGGGCCCAGAGCCTACTCATGCTGCACGGACAGAAACTCAAGAACAGGTGTGCTTCCAGTCTTTTATTACTGTTTTTATGAATGGATTTTGTCAAGCGCACATTACTGTTTCAATATAATTGTGAGTGGCTGTACCTGATGATCTTTTTCTGGCGTGCAGGTCAGGAGCGATACTGCCCACGCTCCAGGCGCTGCAGAAGAGCATCCAGAGACACTTTGACAATCTGTCCAAACTGTAAGTGCAATTTTTAAATGTTTATCAAATTGTTTTCTTCATGTTATAGTACAAAACCCAAATTCAAACCAAATCAGTGATTGTAAATGTGTTTTCTCTGTGCAGGTGTGACTTTAACATGTATAATATTCGCTACGCGGTGGCACTGTCAAAGCAGAGGGGCGTAAAGAGAGCAGCCGAGGAGAACGAGGGGGATGAGGAGGAGGATCATGATGAGCTGTCTGAGGAGATGAGCCAGGCCTCCGTGGAGGATGCAGACATGATGCTGTTGTCCTGAAGCCAATCCGCATCATTCCAACAACATGGCAGATATCACTGCACATAGAGAATAATTATGTCGGACTGTGAAAGCAAACATATTTCTGTGTACTTTACAAAACATTGTAAACTGTTTTTATTAAATACATGTAAATGAGCATGTTTTCATGTTTTCTTTAGCCTGCGTTTACTTTGGTTACAGAACTGCAACAGGTGATTCCACTTATTTTGTCTGATTAGACTTCTTATCAGGTTGAGCTTGATTAATACCTCCCTGACTCTCCTGTCAGTTTTGTTACATTTATTGTGAGCTTGTGTGTCTGCCAGCATAACTCCGTCCACACCAGAGGTCTGATCAGCCAGACAAAGGAAAACACCTGTGTGGGTGTGCAGGGCCAGTAAAGAAACAAATGGCATGTTAGCATTGTAGCATATGCAGTTGAAGGTGCTTCCATCCATTTTCAAGGGTGCTTGTTGCAATTAAAAAAGGGCGAGCTGAGCTGCCAAATTGGCCCTTTGACAATGCAGTTTCCACCTCCAGGGTGATAATCATGTACTCCCAAGCAAACCGGGAAATGTGGTCTTCCCAGCATTCTAAGAACTACAAATAAAGGAATGCAACTAGAACCAACATCTGTATCTGAGCCACATCCACTGGATTCCCTCAATGCAATGTAAAAGGAGCAGCGACTCCAAAGGCAAGACAACATGGGGTGCTGTTTATAATGTCATTAAATACAGCTGCTTGACTGGCTGAGACATGTATTTAATATTTAGTGCATATAGTGTATTTAATGCCTTGGACCTGAACTATAAGTTCTAGGGCTGCCACTACTAAACTATCATATTACTGTCTGGGATCATTATTTTACTGTACAAAACGTTAAAAATATTGGGACCCAAAGTTAAAATTATGCCTAAAAAAGAAAAGTAATCGTGGCCACAAATGCTAATTAAATAATTGGTATTCTTCTAAATTTTAATTAAATGTAGTGGAACTACAACCTGAGCCTGAATGAAACAACCATACCCGGCAGTACTTGCGGCAGAATAGCGGAAGAGGCGGATTTGAGCCAAAATGAGGGAAAATAAGAACATGTCCGAGTCCCCTTCTCAAGCGGGAAAAGAAATACCGGCGAAAAAACAAAAATTAAGCAGTGACGAGAACAGTAACCCCGATTTATCAGGAGACGAGAATGTAAGCATTTAAAGCGTGTTGTTTCTTCGGCGACAAATGACTCGTAAAATAATCCTAGCGAGTTAGCATCGTGCTAAAGTAGCCGGCCGGCTAAAGTGTTTAGCTAGCAGCTTTGTTCACCTATACCGGCTAAATTCAAACAGCTGGTGTAATTTAGCTATGATGGCATTAGCTGGTTGCCAGTTTATTCTCTCCAAAGTACACTTCACACAGATAGCTTCATACTCACGGACTTTTTAAAGTACGTACACAAAATACGTTGTCTTTATGCTCAGACTATCATTCACGTGCAACCTAAGGTTAGCGTTAGCACCAGCAGCTAATACAAGTTAATCATTGAAGAAATAGTTGAAATGTGCGTTGTGGCAGAGTTCATTTACGGTGTGATGGAGCGGCGTCATCATGAGAGATGATACAAATATTTTGAGTTAATGAGGGATGTCCTGTAATTACCAACATAGCAGGCAAATCTTATTCTCTAGCAAACACTATTTAACGTTACCTCATGTGCGAGAACAAAATATCTAAAGGTTTGTCTTTAGACTGCTGCAGCAAAAATGTAAAAGTATTTTACAAAATGACACTGCTGCTTGTCATTTGTTGGAATATGTTTTTATACGAGTGTGAAGATAGATTAAGGGGTGATTGTTGCTGGTAAAGTGCTTCTGAGAAGGAAAGACTGCCATTCATTTCTGCAAGATAAATCTGATGAACATGTCTACACTGTCACCTGTTTTGTTTTGGGTTTTTTTTTTGCATTTGTAGGATGATGCTGTTAGTGTTGAGAGTGGGACAAACGCAGAGCGGCCAGACACACCCACAAACACTGCCAATGCTCCAGGCAGAAAGAGCTGGGGCAAGGGCAAGTGGAAGTCCAAGAAGTGCAGATATTCTTTTAAATGTGTCAACAGTCTGAGGGTGAGTACAGACGCCACCCTGAACAGTATGTCAAGCCAAGGTTTTATCGTTTCTTATACCAAATATTATCTAGTAGCTTTTGTTTTCTGTCATATTTCAATAACCATCAAAGTACATATACTTATTTGGATTTACAAAAATCTACACAGCATTTTGTCCATTTATTTCCTCTGTATCAAACACACATACAGATCCATCCAAACTTCACTTAGACAAACAACTGTTGGACCATCCAAGTGAAGGTTTGTCTTATCACACACGTATTCATTTCATTAACAATGACACAACGGTTTACACAGGAGGACCACGGACAGCCATTGTTTGGAGTCCAGTTTAACTGGCACAGCAAGGAGGGAGACCCGCTGGTGTTTGCCACAGTCGGGAGTAACAGGGTAAGTGGTGGCGAGGCATCCGAGTGATATGGGATTCATGTGGTATCATTTCTTTATGTTACTTTGTCTTCTGTTGGACTAGTTAGGGCTAGGGCTGGACAATGTGGCCAAAAATGTTATCACGATAAAAAGATTCATATCTTTTGATATCGACAATTATCACAATAAGTATCAAATAGTTATTTCTTTGAGTTTAAAGTCTGATTTTTATTCCTGAGTGAAAGTTGAAGAAACCTGATGGTTAATTAGGGTTTAAACTTTTCTTTATGATCAACACTTGAGGTCAAATCAAACATTTATTGATTATTTATTGAACATTTTTTATATTGTTGTTTTAAAAAATTATATCGTGATAGTTATTGTTTTATTGTCTAGACCTAGTTATTCAAACTTACGTAGTGCTGTCTTTTCTTCACCAGGTAACTCTGTATGAATGTCACTCTCAGGGAGAAATAAGACTCTTGCAGTCTTATGTGGATGCAGATGTATCCTTTTTTACTTGCCTTTTGCTTGTTTTTTTAAACTTGCCTTTGTTTTATACAGGTGTTATATACTAGATGACAGAAAACAAACCTAGACATTGAATTCCTTGTCACCTCAGCTAACCCGAAACAACGGGTGGATTAAGATCAGGCCATATTTGAAATGTTTGCATAGAAATGTTTACATCTTGTGTTCTGGAAATCATTTGAAGATAAAAATTGTTGTCTGATCATGCTCTTGAATCACCCATCTGATTCTGCCACAGTTTAGATTTGAGTGCATCTCTGCAGGTTGAGGAATGGTCTCAGGTATAGGTATAAAATTTATTATCAGCTGCTTTACCTTACTAGCCCCTGACCAAGTCCCCAAGCTCTTAGTTGGTCCAGTAGGGCTGCAAGTATGATTCAGTGGGTTGTAGACATTTAAAGACTTAACCTTCTCTTAAAAAAGGTAAGTTCAACAATGACTGGGAGAGGTTCTGCTGTCATTTCCTTGACTAAATGTGTGCAAAGGCAGAAGAGAACTTCTACACGTGTGCCTGGACCTACGACACCAACACAAGCCATCCGCTGTTGGCTGTAGCTGGTTCCCGTGGCATTATTCGGGTGATCAACCACATCACAATGCAGTGCATCAAGGTGAAGTTAATCAGTCTTATCGCAACAAACTTGTGTAGTCAGTTAGGTTTGGGCCGATAAACGATGCCATTGTCCTTTGTAATGACATCGTCTATCAGCGATGGCTGACAGATGGTCGATGGTTGAACAGGCATTGACATTGCAAAATCCCGCCCCCTGGCAAAAAAAATCTAAATTTTTCACATAATACTGCCATGTGAAAGCAGGTTTTAATCACCAAGATCATTATTATTCAAAATTTTAAATATGCTTCGCACCTTCCTTGGAATTCTCTTCTCTCCACACAGACACACAAGAGGCCTACACCTCAGTTAAACACACCGGCTTGCCCCGCCTCTCTCTGTCTCCCCCCTCGCCCAACTACTCCACTTTCTCCATCAGCAATACGTTTTATAAAGTCGCCTAAAAGACACCGAACTCTTCTTTTTTGGCAGCAGGTGAGCCGCTTATGGGCTTGTTAATGACGCAGCCTATCAAACAACCAAAACCAACATCTGCACCCTGTGTGTTCACTGCTGCTTTACCTGGTCGTGTTTGTAAAATTTCCACCATGACTTGTAACGTCATTAGACTACCAAGTCTAAAGTGAGTAAAGTCGGTACGAGTGAACACATGCACATAAGACGACTGCTATCACCCCGATTCCATCGTCCATCCGGATGTTTCAGTGTAGACATCGTCCAACCCTATAGTCAGTAGATGTTATTGGTTTGTAGGCACTCTGGACTGTGTATTCCTCATTATATTCAACAGTATTCCCTCAGCCTGACATTTGTACTTGGACTAATCCAGCACACCGTACATTGATGCAATACAAATGTCTATGATTTAAACATCAGAAACATCAAATAATCCCCATTTGTAGCTATTTTTTATTCTATTATATAATGATTTCCTTAAAGAAACAGCAAAAACATTGTTTAAAGCACATGCAGACTGTAAGTGTTGGTTACGCCATGGAAGATATTGTTCTTCTCCTTGCCTTTGCTTGTTTTGGGGAGACGCATGTAACATTGACATTTGCCGGGGGCCGTTTAGAATGTAGTTTTTTCCACAACTTATAAATGTGGCCTTCATTTTCAGTTCAGGTGGCCCAAGTTAGGATCAAATTGACTTTGTTGTTCAGAAAAATGCATTTTAGTAGTAATCTAAATCATAAGTCATTCACTGAAACCCTGTAGAGTAATTAAGTTTTACAATATGATAGATGTAATTTTCATTGCCGATAATAAATCAAGATCATGTCTACAATTAACTACCTTTCCCCCTCCTAAATCCAGCATTACGTAGGTCATGGGAATGCCATCAATGAGCTCAAGTTTCATCCGAGGGATCCAAATCTCCTTCTGTCTGTCAGCAAAGGTAAAAAACCTACAATTATAATTACTGACATTTTCAAAATACATTACATACAACACAGAAAAGCCAGTAAGAGGAGAGTATGTCACAAATTCCTTTCTAAGTTAAAGAAAACAGCAGTGAAATAACATTGATTTTGATATTTATAGATGCATAAACACTAAAAGTTTCTCATCCATGATTAGTTGCCAACATCTTTGTGGCACAAGCATTTGCATTAAGTAATAAAAAGTAGGTTACAGTAGGTGTTGTCAGAGTATAACACCACTCGTGGATTGTAGGGATAGTTTTTAGGATAGTTTTTTTTTAAATTATTATTACCATGTGATTGTCAGGCGGTTCCTTAATCTGAGTCTCCCATGGCCCAGGTAACAACAGGGTCATGTGAAGTTTAATCTGTCATTGAATCAGGTGAATGTTAACTTGGCACATTTGATGTTTTTTTTTAGTTACAGCCTCCTTTAAAGTTGTTAAATTCACACCATGTAGGTGCCCAGAACATCCACCTCGCCTCGTTAAAGGGCATCAAAATATTGGCTGTTGCATCAGTGTAAAGGAGGTGTGACTCCAACCTGATTTTCTTACTGTAATGGTGGCAAAGCTGCTGATGTTTTTGTTTATTGATGACCTGAAACACTGGACTGGACTAAACAAAAACAGTAACGTTGCAGCTGGATGGCTAAACAGTGAGCTGAAACTGGTTATAAAGGTTTACAAAGTTGGATGGAGCTGCAGATTTGGGTATTATTCTCTGTGGGTTCACCACTAAGAGCTGCTTGTCACATTGTTTCCTCAGATCATGCCCTCCGTCTATGGAACATTCATACAGACACATTAGTGGCAATATTTGGTGGCGTGGAAGGTCATCGAGACGAAGTCCTGAGCGCTGTGAGTATTGTTAACTCTGCCTCAATGGGAATATTTATAATCCTCAAACAAAACCTGGATTACATTGTTTTTTCTTTTTGATAACTCTGCTGCAGGATTTTGATCTTTTGGGTGAAAAGATTATGTCCTGTGGGATGGACCACTCCCTAAAACTTTGGCGAATCAATTCAGAGCGAATGCAGAAAGCCATTCGTGGGTCTTATGAGTACAACCCCTCGAAGACCAACAGGTAAAACAAACAAAAATGTGGAGTAAGTTGGTTTTTTTTTTCGTTTTTTTTTTTTTCGTTTTTTTCCCCGTGTAGGCTATCAAATCTTTTAAAAATCTGTTTAACCAGTGGAGCCAGATGTCTTAATTTCATTTTTCTTTTTTTCAGGCCTTTCGTCTCTCAGAAAATTCACTTCCCTGACTTCTCAACACGAGACATTCATAGAAACTATGTGGACTGTGTGCGGTGGCTGGGGGATCTTATTCTTTCCAAGGCAAGTTAGTGAATATAACAAAATGTACAGTGGCTTCCACGTATTCAGACCTCATGCAGAATTTGTGTTTTAGTTTTAATGTAACATTGATTAAATTGACTTTTTTTGGCAAATAATTCAGCACACTAATCCATAATGACAAAGCCAAAAACATGTTTGTTTGTTTTTTTATTCAAAAGTGAAAACTCTCCATTTGTCTTTGTGGGTAATTGCCATAAAAAATCCACTTTACATTCAGTCAGTGTTAAAGTAGTCCAAATACTTTCTGAGGCCTCTCAAACTGGAGGTCATCTTGCCTGGTAAAAAATGGTCCTAATTTAAATCTGGTTGTAAATGTTTACTAAGTCTAAAATGCTTTTTATTTATCTTTCCTGTCTCACTGCAGTCCTGTGAAAATGCCATTGTCTGCTGGAAACCAGGAAAGATGGAGGACGACCTCGATCGCATTAAACCGAATGAGTCAAATGTGACTATTCTTGGGCGCTTTGATTACAGCCAGTGTGACATTTGGTACATGCGTTTCTCCATGGACTTCTGGCAGAAGGTGAAGTCATTAATGTTTTGTTTGTACCTGCATGATCATTTTACATGTCTAATTGTATTATTTTTTGACTAATAATACAACACATACAGATAAAGGACTCATGGTACTAAAAGTGCAGCTTTGATCTGATCCTGTTACTGATATATGGGCTTGTGATACTGATTTGCAGATGCTGGCTCTGGGAAACCAGGTGGGGAAACTTTATGTGTGGGACCTGGAAGTGGAAGACCCACACAAGGCAAAGTAAGTTACAGAGTTGGATGCGAGGCAGGAGGCAATCACTGATGGTGATTGACAGCTTAAATCTCCAAGTTGGTGTGTTGTGAAACCAGTTGAGTGAGATGACACTCAAATAAAAGCATCACCGCCTGGAATGCCAACTTAGGTCTTACTTTAGTTTTAACTTAATGTCAGTATACACGGGACACGATAACAGAAACACTTAACACATATTTATACAACTGCCACGCAGTAAATGTCAGTTTGTTGCAGCCGTTAATTTGTTTGTTTACTTACTCATGAAGCTTTCCTTTTTTTTTTTCACGTCCTCAAGATTTGTGAGATGTAAATAGTTTCCGGCATGCACACACACACCCTTGATATTTCACAGATGCTAGTTAACAAAGTTAACAAAAACGCAGAAAATAAAATCCCAGTGCTTCTTTTATTTCACTAAAAACATCTAATTTATGACTAACATAACATAAAATTGGTCCCAAGAGTTAGGAATGACACGATATTAGTCAACTTAACATTCAGCTAACAAAGTTAACAAACGACAAGTTTTATAGTAAATTACTTGATTTAAGTTAATTATCAAGCAAAAATTACAATTATCTGTTTCCAGCTTCTCAAATCTGAGGCTTTTCTGATTTACTCTTTCATATCATCATCCAAATGTGTTTTAGGGCTGCAACTAACAGTTATTGTCATTATAAATGACTTCCAATAATTTTCTTAATTTATCGATTGATTTTTTTTGTTCTGTGAAGTGTCAGAAAATGCTACAAAAATGCATATCACACTTGTTTTCAAATGTTTGTTTAATAAGCAGTCCAAAACCCAGAGAGAATCAGTCTGCAGTCATAAAACAGAGAAAAGCAGCAAATCATCACCCTGGAGATCCTGGAGACCTCAGATCCTGGGAGGTTGAATCAGTTTCACCAACAGATGAATCTATAATGAAAATAATGTAATTTCAAACATGACAACTCGTGTGAATCGGTTAAAACAAGCAAAAACACGAAGAGCTTCACCAAAAAGTTTTTACTGGAGCATTGTTAGATGTTTCTGTTATAAAGTCCACTTTCTGTAGGCCTGACCTTTAGATCTGAGCATCGGGCCATTAAACGTGCTGAACACAATATATATCAAAAAAAAACACAACGTGTGTGTGTGCGTGTGTGTGTATGCAGGATTTGTGAGGCTCAGTGTGAAATACCTGCAGTATTTGATAGATTGCGATCATGTTCCCAGGCTGCATGTGTGATGGCGGTCTTCTCTCTGCTCTCCAGGTGCACCACACTGACCATCCCCAAATGCACATCGGCCATCCGGCAAACCAGCTTCAGCCGCGACAGCAGCATTTTGATAGCCGTGTGTGACGATGCGTCAATCTGGCGCTGGGATCGACAGCGCTGAATAGTTTTTTTCCTGAAAATGTTTTGGTTCTTGTTGCTTCCCCCCCACCCCCACCCACCATGCAAGCCCTACAGATCTACACTGCAAGAAATGTCCGTTTGAACATTTAGTCTTACACATGGTCTAAAAGCTCATCATATATTTCCTTTAAAAAAAGTGAGAAACAGTGCCAAGGTGAGATGATTTCCTTTTGTTACTCTGGTCAAAGAGATTATTTTGATTTCCTGGGAGGATATTTGAGTAAAAACAAAAGATCTCAAAGAATTTTAAGGTTTCAGGCTGCTGCAACATTTTATATCTAACAAAACATCAGTAATGATCTGGGATTTATTCCTTTTTAGATGAACATTTGTCAACCACAGCAAAGATGGTAAAGACATTATTTGTTCCAAATGTTTTAAATTGAATGAAAGCCAGTTGTAACAGCACATTGGTGAAAAGATAGGTATCGGCGGAGGTTAAGTGCCTTCTAGCTTCCTATGCAGACGCTTGAGAAGTTGTAGACCAATCATTCCTATTATCTGCATTCAGGGAAATCAGAGGAAATGTCTGTCTCAGGCCGACTTTTGTTACTTGTTTTAGGAAAAATAAGCTTTTAAGACACAACAGATAAAATGGCCAAAGATGGATTATTTTTTGCAGTGTGCCATGTTTTATATTTTGTTCACAGAATAATTGTGTTTTTCCCTTTCTGTTATCTGAACATTCCTTTGTGTCTTTTTTTAATGCCCTGCTTGGTTGCTTTGATGCCCCCTCCTCCTCCTACATGCACACAAACACACTTTTGACTGTTGTAAAATGTACAGTATTACATTTGACATCAGAGGATTTCAATAAACTCAATAAAATGTATTTCGTAAATATATGCTCAGAGTCAGTTGGTGCAGTTATTGTGTATTGACAACGGACACTTATTTGGCATAAAGTCAAATGAGATTGTGTGGTTTTAATTTCTGTACCTCTTTAGAAAATTTTGACTTAATCCCCTATAATAAAAGTCTGCTGAAGGGGAGGGAGGGGGTTCTTTTGCCTATGTGGAGTGCTTGTACTTGAATTTATTTGGACTTGAATAAAACCTATTTTTCTACAGAAAGCATGGTTTATTTCTGTACCATGAGAAAATTACATAATTCCTAACACACTGCAGTTCAGAAGAGATTACAGCACATATTTAAGGCTTTGTGGAAACTTTGGAGTGTTAAATGATATGATCATTCAGTTTTCAGACTGATGTGCATTACGATGAAGTCTTTTTTTGCACTGTCTGCTCCAACATGCACAAGTCATGTGATTGGAGGCTTTGCCCACTCTGATCAAAAATCTCCAACTCCAGAGCTGAACACAAGAAAATGACGTTTTGCCGGAGTGCGCACCGGCGCTGCGCTGCGCTGCCCTTATCTTCAGGAACAGCTTGCCTACTGCGGACTTTTGCCCTCCGACTTTGATAGGTGAAGAGAAACCAAACGGCATTAGCGCAGCTCGAGCATGTTTTCGCAAAAGTCGCCGAAAAGTCTGTCCAAGTATGTCTCCAAGTCGTCGCACACCGCCGGGGAGCATATTTGTATGGTTGAATGTGGGTGTAAGCCGGACTGCACCTGTAGTCTCCACTGCGCCGGGAGCAGGACACTCTGTGCGCCCGAGTTCAAGGTAGGCCTCCAGAAAGCTGCGGTCCATCTGAAGCTCATGTCTCGTCCTTGAAATGATGATCACGCAACAATTTGACATGTTGAGTCAAGAATTCTTATTTCAGCGGTTTTATTAGGCCAGAGATCCACCTGTAGCAGTTTGATTTAGTTCAGTTTCTCATCAGATCATAGCAGCAGATCTGACCCGCTGATCAGCCGCAGTGATAATGACTGTGAGGTCAGAGGGCCCATATGCAGAGCTGTAATAGGCCTACTTAGCAGTATTTGAAAGTACTTTTACTGAAGTAAACGTTTTTCCATTTCTTTCTGCTTTATACTTCTACTACCATTCAAAGAGACATGTTGTACTTTTTACTCAATTTAATTGACACCTACAACTAGAGTTGCTTTGAAGATTAAGAACATCAGTTTGTAAAATAGTATGCATTTTTGTAGATTCAACTACAAAACAGTATAAAAATAGTTTATATTAACACCCTTAATAATAATCCAGTAACACACTGTAGGCCCATTATGCTGTAAAATAACAGCCACGTGGGCCATTTTTCTGCATTATACTTTGAGTACATTTTTCCAACAATACTTGTGTACTCAACACTTGTAATTAAGTCATTTTATATTGTAGTATTGCTTCTTTAAAGATGCTAAGTAAAGGATCTGCCTAATTCCTCCACCACTGATTGACTGATTGTTTTAAGTCATTTTTTGGACTGTTTGACAAACCAAGACATTTGAAGATGTTTTCTTGAGATTTAGGGATTTGGGATGGACAATTTTCACAATTTTAATGAAAAAAGTAGTAAATGTTCATTCAGAAAAATAATCAACAGATTATTCAATATTAAAAATAACCGTTTAGCAGCCCTACCCATAAGGATACCATGTTTTATTTTTGTACTCAATTTAATTAATTAGCCACTGAGGAGTCATACATAATGCCAATGGTTTATTGCAGTGGTTTCCAACCTATGGGCCTCAATGTGGACATGAGATGATATTTGGGGTTGGAAAGAAGAAAAAAAAAGTTCTGATTCACAAATTAGTTGTAATGTTTTCAGCTTTTCTAAAATATTGTTTTGTGAAATACTGGATAATTTGACCTCTTTGGTCCTCAAACAGTTATTCATATGAAACTACCTGAGAAAGCTATTTCTGCTACCCTAAAATATGTTAATTTTTTCAGACTTTTTGTGTTTATTTTTACTTAATGTGAGATTCTGGATAGTTTTATCTTCTCTGGCCTTTTTAAATGTTTCAAATTCAAAGGAGAAATCACTGTGTGCAATTCATAGAAACATACAACCTGTTGGGAGGATTCGCAGGTAGATACTGTTTAAATGTAAGGGGTTACAAACTGCTTTTCAAAAAAATCCTGCTTTTGATTTTCTGCATGCCACAGGTCATTAAGCCCCCCCCCCCCCACACACACATATGTGTGAAATAATTAGATTTTTGTTGCAGTGATCCTGCATTAGACAAACATTTTTAAGTCATGCTCATGTACCACCTGTAACAACTAGCTGTCTATCATGTTGCTATGGAGGTTGAATGCACTCATTGTATGTGCTTTGGAGAAAAGCCAAATTAATGTAATGTAATCATGCAAGTCATTGCAGCTACAACGGCTTAGGATAACAACATGAAAGTGTAATCAAGTCACACACTGATTGTTGCCATAGTTTAACAGCTTTTTTTGTTTAAAGCCTATTTTGTTGACATACTGTATATATCCCCAAAAGTGTATATCTTTTGTCTACTTTCTTAAGACAAAAATTAATGCATGAATAAAAGAAATTGAGACAAGTGACTTAAACTTTAATTGTTTAAATGCTAGACTGTGTGGCTGAAAAGGATCTTTCTAAAACTCACTTAATCCAAAATCAAACCAATAGCTCCTTTAATCACAGTAAATACACATAAATGTTGTCTTTCCAAATGCGATGCTACTTCTTGATTATGGCAAGTCAAATGGATCTTATTCTAGCAATTTCAAATAAAAGAGTTGTGAAGAGATAGCTGTCCAGTAATCCTACACTCCTGTCGATATGACTTTGTTATAATTGAGGCAAAACAGTTGTGAATTTTGTCAAAGTGAGTTCTGTTCTGAAAGTTACAATAATTGTTGAGAACATCAAGATGTCATTTTAAAAGTAAAAAGAATAGTATTTTCTGAATAACCTAACGAGGGTGGACATGCTTACAGTGTAGCCTTTCTATTAAAATCAATGCAATAATATTGGAAGTTATCATATTTCCATATAATTAAAAAAATAGTTTATTTCCTCATTCACAAGCATAAAGATAATCAGTGATGCTGTTACTAGGTAGATTATCACAATAAACTGATTTATTCTCATCACATTAATTGTTGTTCAAATTAGATTAGATTGAACTGTATGATCATTGAGTAAGTGAATAAAAAGTGCACATAGAAATATACTTATAAAGCTAAACTGATGTACCGAATTAATAATAGATTGATGATGAAGGAAGATAATGTTACATAGAGCAAAATAAAGAAAGCATTAGCATGTGAAGCAGTCATGATATGTCAGTATGTAACTATGGTATGTACAATATAAACAGCACCTGATAAATAGCATGTACAGTAGGATAGTCTGGTTATGATATACAGAGTATTAACAGGAAGCAGTTATGTAATATTTTAACTGTAAAAGAGAAAATATGTTTAATTGAATATGGTCAGAGCTGAATAATGAGGCATTGGAGCAATGCAGTAACAGTGTTATAAATTATCAATAATAATGACATTTGTTTTACCATTTCTATCTATATGCTATCATTCATGTTAACCTCAGTGTTTGATGTTCACACTATTATTTTAAATGCTGTTATTAAATGCATACTCTGTAGAGGAGAATTGGACTTGTCTATGCCTAATTGTGGTGGTTAGTGGTTGGTTCATGGTCAGCCAGGGGCCCTTAAGGTTAAGGGCCCCTGGCTGACCATGAACCCAAGATTGGGCCTCACTGCAGTACACCATTTAGATTAAGATAAACAAACCATAAAATACAGTGTGTCACTGGGTCACAGTTAACAGAGTGAAGACACAGGTATGCTGTGATAAATACCACAGTTTACTGGGGAAATGTTTTTTCTGATACACTGTCTGTGTAAGATTTGTTGTACTTTGAACAGTTTAACAATACTCATAAACCTACAAGTTAACATTTCAGTGTTTGCCTTACTCACCGTAACACAAAGGGGCACATGGGGACAGATCTATCCAGCTTTCTATCTACATACGGTCACTATAGTAGATCATATTTTAAGATTTTATGATTATTTGTGATCTGTAGCTGACCTTAACTGCTAGAGATGCCCCAGTGGCCTAATGGGTAAGGCACTATCCTCCTAAGCCAGGGATTGTGGGTTCAAGTCCCATTGGGGGGAGGATTAGCAATAGAGAGTTGTTCTCTGGAAAAGTCCGTATGTTTTAGGATTCCAAAATACATTGTTACTTTAGATATAAAATATTTTCCCATGACTCATCCAAAAAAAAAAAGAGTTATATATTGCAGTATAAAGATGCCTGAATGTATGCACGCAAATGCGCAATAAATCATTTAATTTCAGTGAAATGTTGTAATCCTTGTGACAAAGGATCCTCTTTTTCATCCGAGAATTATGCTTCTTGTACTTTGAAAATATGCCAATCGTGTAATTTATGTAATACACTGGGTTTGAGTGAGTACTCAATTGAAGGGAGTATCTGGTACAGATAAAAATACTATTGTTAAGCATGAGTATCATCACAGTAAAATGTGTTAATATGTTTTCTAATGAACTATTAAGTAGAGGAACTTTAAAAGAAAATGTTAAATTTTACTATTGTAATCAAAAACAGGCTGTTCTGTAAATAGTTATCTAATAAATGTAGCAACTTCCGATGAACCCATATCAATTTCAGGCTTAAATAAATAACTTCAGTTAGTCTCTACTTTGCCCTGACTATCCTCTGACAAGTCCTCTCTTGTTCACCACTTCTCTTCACCGGCAATCCTATCCCTCACCTACTAAGCACAATAGCTCATCCCAGTGGCCAGGAGGCTGTACTGCCACATTACTAGGTACTAATGATGTCCACAGCATCCCTGTTGTGACTAGTGTCAGAATCATGAAAATGACTCCCTGTAACACAGCTGACTTGTCAAATCTGATAACTGTCCCCTGCACTTCAAAACTGGCTTTGGGGCCT